ATATATATAATCATAAAATTATTTATAATTATATATAATTATATGCATAATTATGTTAAATTATTATATATATATTATTATATATATATATATATATTATAATATATATGAAATTGTACATATAATTATATATGATTATATATAAGTAACATATTAACATGTATGGACAAATTTCATAGATAATTATATGTAATAATGTAAAATTATATATAATTTTATATAATTTTACATAATTATATATGAAATCTTTTTTATTCGGAGATGGAATATATCCAGACATATATATTTATATATATTTTTTAACATTAAAAGTATGTGCGTAGAAAATGAAAGTTATTTAAACACGCATTTTACAAAAATTTAATATTTATCTGACATATGCTCTATATACCTGACATTGCATCATATTTTCGCTTCATATAAAAAATTGTGAGTGCGTATGTAGAAAATTAAAGTTATTTTGCACGCAGGAGACATTAGTGAATATTACGAGGCCATCAGATTACGACTTGAAGGGCTACATACAAAAAATAGTGAAAAATATGATTTGATTGCACGCGTGCGGACGTGCAATCAAATCTGGGACCCGATTCCTGACGGTGTGCGACTGAGATGCGCATGCGAAGATCTATAATTCACGTTACATATACTATAGATTTCCGAATGCGTATTTTGCTCGCATATCGTCTGGAATCGAGCTCCTGGAAAGATTCTCATCAGTATGCTAAAAAGGATATTGGAGGATTCACATCACGTCCGATGTCCGATGTATAACGTCCGATATCCAATAAGAGGACAGTTTTCTAATGGAGAATTGAATTCTCTATTAGAAAGCTGTTCTCCTATTGGATATCGGATGTCGTACGTCGGACATCGGACGCAGTGTGAATCCTCCATATGCGCTTCGTGCGTGATGAAAATCAGCGCTCTCTCTGGAGAAACGTTGGAACTACAATACCGCTCCTCCTTACCGTAATGATGAGGAGTCCCAAATACACGTCCGCATGCGTGCAAGCAAATCGTATTTTTCACTATTTTTTTATCTAGCCCTTCAAATCATTATCTGATGGCCTCGTAATGTTCACTAATGTCCCCTGCGTACAAAATGACTTTTATTTTCTACACACTCATTCAGTATTTTTTATATGAAACGGAAATATGGCGTATAAAAAATAAATATAAAATTGTTTATTTTTTATACTATACTGGGTTGTTTTACATACATTAGCATATCTATATTTACTCTGTAAAAGCATTTTCAATTCTATGCAGCCGTCTGGAAGAATAGTGAAAAATAGATAATGTCGGTATTCAGCATCCCCTTAAGCTCTAAGCCGTAAGAAACTAACCAATCACAATCGATTATTTTCCTTATATTTGGTTGTGATTGGTCAATTTCTTACGGCTTCAGGCTTAAAACTTAAATTTTGTGGTTTAAGTTCTCATTGTAGACCACGCTTTAATTGACTTAAAGATGTCTTATGTCCCACTTTTGGACATGTGTGCTGTCTAGGATTTAAAATTATCACAATAAACATTAAGCGAATGATTTTTATAGACCTTATCGTTTCTTACGATATCTTGATATGTATAACACTAAAAGAGCTTTAAATATATATTCAATTATAAGATAAATAAAACCGTTGAAAGATATATAGATATATAGTACCTAAAATTACGTTAGGATCACATCTGGTCATAACATCATTTTTATAGTTGCATCTGTTGCTATTCCCACATACCTGTGATGTTTCTGTTTCTGGATTATGCTTTTGAAATGGGGTGTATATCAGTTGGACACGGGGCAATTGGACACAATCCAATCACAAGTCGCTGTTCCAAGGGACCCTACAAATGTCTCTAATCACACGGTGCTGTGATTGGCTGTGTCCAAATGCATCGTGTCCAAGTGCACCGCTCCCTTTGAAATGTATGTGAAATTAAAAGGAAAAAATAAAAATTTGTTAGAAATGTGGACTATCATAAGTAGGTCAGATCGAGGTTAATTTTATCGATTACATCGATTACGCGAGCAACCGATATCGATAGTAGAGTGGAGAGCGTGCGCAAGTTCGAGAGCACAAAGGGCGCAGGATCGGAAACGAGACCGATTCGGGAAACATCGAGAAGCTTCTAGAAGATCCGGAAGAAAAAGCTAAAAAAGCGATTCGAGACGAGAGAAGACACACTCTCACGAGCGCGGGGAAATCGAGAAGTCAATTGAGAGAGTTGTCGAAAAGTTGAATAAGAGTCGGAAGAGTCGTTAGATAATTGGCGGTATTTCGGTACGAAATCATAGTGTAAGTCGCGAGAAACGCTTTGTATAATTGCAGAACATAATAAATGTTTGGTGATTTGTCCAGAGACATTGGGATTCTCTCTTTATTAATATTCCCTGAAAGTCCTTAGTCCGGCAATTCGAACCGTTGAAGGTCGTCGGGACGGTTAGGAATATTTACAACAAGAAAGGAAATCGGGTAGAAATTTTAACAAAGAGAATTAGTGGTAGATAAAACTAAGGAATTTTTCTTACACACCTTTATAATCTGTTCCTGTTAAAGCTAGCTCTGGCATCCCTTAATTAAATATTACAAAGGGAATGAGTAAGATATAAATGTAAAGTAATTATGATTCCAAAATATGCTACAAGCAAATAAGTGCCTTACTTTGTCTTTGCTTCGCAAAATTATCATAATTGCTATCATCAGAGCAACTATTATCGCTAATAAGGGCTTTATCATTATTTTTATTTCCTGAAATGCATAATTTTCATTATTTAGAAACAAAAAATGGGAAATGTATATATGAAAACTTGTCATACTACATGCTATTAGGTGCGAATGAGTTTTAGTTGTATATAAAATAAAACGGACAACCTGTTTAGCAAATCTGCTATGCCAAAAGGGATACAACTCCACTTTGTCTTAATTAAATATAACACAGCAAACACAGATGTATATCTGTTACATTATCGTAATATATTGAAATGTAACACACCATATAACACGTATATAGATGACTGCTTGCCTACGTTCGCTTGTATACAGATGCACTAGTCAAATTCAACATCAAATTCACCTATCAAAATAGCTATGTAAAATGTTAAGTTAATAAATACAAAAATTAAAAAATGGGACCATACGTAATACAATAGATAAATGGTAATAGCGACGTCTGTTGTTATGTATTTGTAGTCGGTGTTGTAATGTAAATAAAAAAAAACATTTTAAAATAATTATACTAAAAAGTTGTTACTCAGAAAAATTGTCAATACAAAAAATATTAAAGAAGCAACTGAACAAAAATTGTATAACAGTTGGCTATTTACAAAAAAAAAAATACAAAGGATAAAAATTGTTATTTAAAAAAACTGTTATGCAAAGAACCTTTACAAAAAAATATAACAAACAAATCCTGTTAAAAGATATTTTACAAGTCTTTACAAAAATATTAATTTTGAGCTATAGCTATTTTGTACTTTCTACAAAAGTAATGATATAAAGAGGTTTACGCCAAGTGCGAATGATTAATCATTAACATTTCAGTTCTCACTTTTATAAATACAAATTCTTTTAACTATATAAATATTTAAAGTAGATAAATATTAAGAAAAACGTTATTATATAAAACTGTTTGTCGGAGAAGCTTCTATAAAAAATTTAATTTTGTATTTCTTCCAAAAATAATAATAAAAGAGATTTACATAACAACTTTCATTATTATACTTTTTGTTTTTTTAATTTTATGTTTCGTTATTTGTTATATATTACACAAATCATTAACATATAAAACATTAATATAAAATTTTAATATTGTATATGAAAAATAAATTTTATATATTATTAACATAAATATTTTAATATTAAATATGAAAAAATATAAAAATATGTATATATTAAATATTAAAAAATAAATAATTATAAATAGAATAATTTTGATAAAAAAATTATAGACTTATACAAAAAGCACTTGGCGTGCCTTTTTTTATTGATTAAACAGCTGTCTTATTAGGTACGCAACTAAGTTCCCGCTGTTTGTCAATAGATGGCTCCAGCAGTAAGTGCTGGTCGATTTTGACATATCCAAAACGTCATGAACCAAGCTTAGACATATGGTAAACAAACCGCTTTGACACGTTAGAGATTTTGTTTTGGCGTCATATATTTTTGGTTGTGTGAAAATGTTTGATTTTGTGCCAAATAACCATCATTTGCGGGAAGTGTTGATTTTCTTATTTCATTCGAAGAAAATGGCGGCTGAAGCGCATCGAGAGCTCCAAAAAGTTTACGGAGATGCTGCTCTAAGTGAAACAACGTGCCGTGATTGGTTTCGTCGCTTCAAAGACGGTGATTTCGATGTTGACGACCGTCCGCGTGAAGGAAGGCCAAAAACCTTCGAAGACGCTGAATTGGAGGCATTGCTCGATGAGGATCCGTGCCAAACGCAAGAACAGCTTGCTTCAGCATTAGGAGTTACCCGCCAAGCCATTTCCAAGCGATTGCATGCGTTGGGAATGATTCAAAAGCAAGGAACTTGTGTTCCTTATGATTTGAAGCCAAGGGACGTTGAGCGTCGTTTTTTCGCCTGTGAACAATTACTCCAGCGGCACAAAAAGAAGGGTTTTCTTCATTGTATCGTGACGGGTGATGAAAAATGGATTCATTATAGCAATCCAAAGAAAAGAAAGTCATGAAGACTGCCCGGTCATGCTTCTACGTCGTCGGCTCGGCCGAATATTCACGCTGCGAAGGTTATGCTGTGTATTTGGTGGGACCAGGTCGGTGTTATTTATTATGAGCTGTTGAAACCGAACGAAACCATCACTGGGGAACGGTATCGAATTCAATTGATGCGATTGAGCCGAGCACTGTGCGAAAAACGGCCACAATACGAGCAGAGGCACGAAAAAGTGATTCTGCTGCATGACAACGGTCGGCCTCATGTTGCCAAACCCGTTAAAACCTACTTGGAAACGCTCAAATGGGAAGTCCTACCCCCCTCCCCCCCGCCATATTCCCCAGATATTGCACCGTCCGATTATTACTTGTTCCGTTCGATGGTACATGGTCTGGCTGATCAGCAGTTCCGCTTATATGAAGACATAAAAAAATGGCTTGATTCGTGGATAGCCTCACAAGACGAACGCTTTTACCGTAACGGTATTCGAGCTCTGCCAGAAAGATGGGAAAAAGTTATAGCTAACGATGGGCGATACTTTGAATGATTCATTTGTAACCATTTTTTCACAATAAAGTTGCATTTTCATAAAAAAAACAGCGAGAACTTAGTTGCGTACCTAATAATATCTTGAGTTTCAAGATTTATAGGATCTTCTAAATCCATTACAATTCTTAATGAAATAAAATTTTCACTAATTTTCACTGTAGCACATTACACCTTTTGCTTAAGTCTTCTTCGAACACGTTTTAGCGACGACCGTCTTATTTATTGATATATATGTCAAATAAGATACTCTTAAATGATTATGAATACATATGTAGTAAGATAACCTTAAGACTATGCTCATGACTAATAAGCAACATTTATGAAATACATTTAGGCGTTCTAAAATAAGATCCGCCTTGGACAAGATACGCCTTTTGCTCAAGTCTTTGCTTATTCTTCGACTATGAATGTAGAGAACGCCTTAAGGCGAAACTTTAGGTAATCTTCGAAATAAGATTGGACTATGAATACCGGCTTTAGATGCGAGCGTGACGCGCGCGAATCCTGCGTCCCTGGCAGCGATTATGTGTGCTCGGTGAGAAACTCAAAAAGTCAGACTCGCGCAGAGTTGTAACGCGCGACAGTAACGAATTCTGTCGGAGGATGCACGGTAGAGGGTGCGATATCGTAGAAGGAAAGCGTCCACCCGCGGTGGAAGCTCCAGTGTAATCCGGCAAAAAGGATCTCGCAAACCGTCCTCACAATCGTCTGTAACATAGAGAAGGTGGAGATCCAAAATACCTCTTACGAGGCAAGCCAACGTGTCGTAGACACTCTAAAGGCAGTGACCCAACGTGCGAATGCACTCAAGAAAAAGGCATCGGAGCCGTCGCCCGCGTCGTCTTATATAGTCGCCGAACCGAAAATTAACCGCGAGCGACGGCCCGGCTGGGATCGCTGCCGCGTAACGGCGACGGCGTGAAGTAGCGGCGAGCGGTATCCGCGCGCGAGCGGATCGCGTCTGGCGCACGACCGCCCGCCGTGCTCTGTCCTTGCGGGTGACAGCATCCATACGGAACAAATATAATGAATATAAAGTATAATATGAAAGATTTATACAATGTCATAAATGTAAAGAATGTTAAGTAAACAGAAAGTACCATGCACATAAAAAGTGTATAAGATAAGAATATCTCTCAAGAAAAATGGTTGTGTCATTGTGCATCTCCTGGCAACAATAATTGCACATACAGGATGTTTATCTCAAGCGTTAATATATAAATATTAATACTTTAATACTAGAGCTGAATACGGAAAATTTATTATCCGGATTATCTGATATAATTATTATCCGACAACTCAAATCTGGATATTTGAATTATCCAGACAATCCGGATAATTCGGATAGTGAAATAACGAAAATAATCGAACTATCCTGATATCTGGACAATTCGAATCTTAATATGAAGAGAATGAAATGTATCTCAATCTACATATTCATAAACTCTAATCAAAATATCCACTGTAATAAGTCAAAGAGAAAAATGATTTCGAAACTGTACGGCCCAAAGTACCGCACAGAATGCTGCCACAAGACTTAGCCTGTGGCGACTCGTTTGTCTCTTACTTCGTCGTCTTGCGCGATATACGTTATTTGTACAACTATTGAATCTTGTACAGCTTTTTGCTATTTAAAATTTATCAATTATACACTACTTTACCTATTACAAATATATTACATATATTTATTTTCTTGTTTTCTATTACCATGTTATTATACAGAGTGTCCCGAAATTAAATTTGACAATTTCGGGAGCGTGTACGACAACGATAAACTAAGAAAAAAGTCGTTTAGATATTTGCTCGTTGTACCTTCACATTGGAAAAATCGCAAGAAAATAGTTTTATTATAAAACATAAAATAACATACAATTATTACATTTATTGATGCATATAAAAAAAATTGTTAGGCGTGAAATTCAGAGAACAAAGTAAATTGAAATCCTTCTGAAGTTGGATTAAAGATAAATAGATGCGACAACGCGGAATTATTGAAACCTATTTATTTACTTTTTGTCTTTCTCATACGAATTAGTTACTTCATCAAATCGGTGCGCATATTTTCGTATTTCTTCGGAAACATTACTGTTGCACAAACCGTATATGTAAACCATGTCGGCATATTCAACGTTACAATATGTACGCGGCATATTATGACAATGTTCCTCAAGGCTTCTGATGAGTAACTGACTAATTCGTAAGAGAAAGACGCAAATGTAAAGAAACTGAGTATATAGGTTTCAATGATTCCACGTTGTCGTACATCTATTTGCCTTTATTTCTATTTCAGAAGGATTTAAATTCACTTTCTTCTCTTTATTTCATGCTTTGCAACTTTTACGTAATGATATGTTTTAATAAATATTTGTAATGTTATTTTACGTTTTATAATAAAAATATTATTTTTCCGTTATTACTAAAGCGAAGGTAAAACGAGCAAATCTGTAAAGAACTTTTTTTTTATTTTATCGGTCCCGTACACGCTCCCGACGTTTTGACATTTAATTTCGGGACACTCTATACAATAACATTGCTAGAGAAAACAAGATAATATATAGCGTATATCGCGCAAGGCGACGAAGTAAGAGGCGAACGAAGGCAAAGATTAAGTCTTGTGGCAGTTTCCGTGCGGTACTTCGGGCCATACGAGACAGTTTCGAAATGATTTTTCACATTAATTTATTAGAGTGGTTATGTATGCACATCAGAATTTATGATTATGTAAATTTCAATACATTTCATTCTCTTTATATTAACATTCGGGTTATCCGCATATTCGGATAGTTGGAATATTTACGTTATTCCACTATCCCAATTATCCGAATAATTGAAATATCCGGATTTGAGTTGTCGGATAATTTGATACATTGGATATCCGGATATCCGAAAATCCGGAACATATTTGTAGTCTTAGTTAAGGCTCCTGGGGAGTCGCATCATCTGTCTTTTTTTAATGACATTAGAAGCGAGCAAAATCAATAGATAATCGGACAATTAATATGACAAGATAATGAGGAAATTAGGTTGGAAAAGACGATTGCACGTCACATTTATTTTATAATTATCTGTTGATTGTTAGAACAACAGGAAAGCG